TTCTGGAACTTCTGTGTTCAGAGAGAAAAGCTCGGGCTAACGCTAGAGAGCCCTGATTTAAGTCCCTGCTGGAGCTACATGATCCAAGTTGATTAGGGTCATACATGTCAATTCCCTCAGTTATCTGCTCAGCAAACTTGTAGGAGCTGTCTGCTGTGGGCCAGACATCTGAGGAATTTGGGCAACAGTACTTTGCTGAACCTTTTCAGTTCTAATTATTCTAGTACTTATCTGAATTTTAGACACCACATAATTCAAGTTAAATATTTCTATATACTCTATGTCCTGTGTCTTGATAGAATTCTTAGATGCTTTATGAAATTCAACACATATTTTAATTTGAAAACCAGATAAAGACATCAGAACCCTGGATGAACTAATAATTTGATACTCTTAGCATTCTGTAAGTGTTTGGTTAGTGTTTTATTTCGAGGAAAGGATGAGGGGTAGGAGAGAGGAAGAAGAGGGGTGAGGTGATACATATAAAGCAAGGAAGTCGCTGCTGTTGCAGAGCCCAGAAGTCCTGTTGTCCTAAGTCAGCTCTGACTTTAAACTTGAATGGTCCAGCCAGTAAACCAGAAGCCTTGCAGTTAATTGCATTCACCCCTTCTAGAAGGTAATTTAGTATCATTAGTTATTATGGAGACATGTTCCTTATGGGATCTTATCTCCTGTTGCCCACACAGCCACTGAAAATATTCCTTCAACCTCACATGGCAAGTTATGTTGCACTGTCTCTGGAGAATGATCAGCCAGATTTGAAGCAGGACACTACGTCTTGTTTTCTGTGAGACTTGAGTCAGAACATGACCTCTCAGGCTTACTTTTTCTGAGACATCAAATAAGAATGATGATAGTAACAATAATAAAAACGAGAACAACAATAAAAAGATGTGCATCATAGGTTTACTGTGTTCAATGAGATAATGCATATAAAGCTTAGAAAAGAGCCTAGTACCTAATGAACATTCTCTAAACGGTAGCTCTTATTTTTTTTTTTTTTTTTTTTGAGTCGGAGTCTCACTCTGTCGACCAGACTGGAGTGCAGTGGCCACTCCTGGCCACCGCAGCCTCGGCCTGCTGGGCTCCGGCGATCCTTCCGCTTCAGCCTTCTGAGTAGCTGGAATTACAGGCATGCGCTACCACACCTGGCTGATTTTTTGATTTATTGTAGAGATGAGGTCTCGCTGCCCAGGCGGGTCTTGAACCCGCGGGCTCAGGCAATTCACTCACCTCAGCCTCCCAAAGGTGCGGGATTGTACTGAGCCACCCGAGCCCGGCTTGGTAGCTCTTATTAACCCACACAGCATCCAGTGTCAAGTTCTGGCCTATGTGATGTCCTCCATTTTGGTACATTACTAGTGAGACTGCGAGTCCCTTTTAGATATCTCCCCAAGAAACTATCAGTGCTTTTCTACTTAATTCAGCCATAAGTCGTATTGGCCTAGTTCCCAATAAAATACTGTCAACACAACTATGTAAGTCAGTGTCCCTGACCACTACCTGTACTTGTCCTCATTTGGCTAAGTTTCCCCATTCCCAAAATTGAGATAGAGACACCCAAGTCACAGAATTGTTAGGAAGATTATGTGACATGATGTATATTTAGCACAGGGCTGAAAACATTCTCTCCCTCTTTCTCTCTCTCATACACACACATACATGCACACTATTTCCCATTCCTCCCTCCCCCCCTTCCTCTTTTCTTCCCTCCCTCTCTTCCTTCCTCTCTTCTTCTATTTGTTATTCTCTTTCTGTTAAAAGGGCAGGTGCTTTTATTCCACTGGTTCCTTCCAATAAAAAAAGGAAAGACATACATATAATTATTTTATTTTAGATGAGAACTCATTCATCATTTATCAGCACTCAGTGAATTTGTATGTTAAGTGTCAAGTATAAAGATTATTCCACGAAAGGAAAGTCAGATTATAAGGAATAGATAGGAAAATAATTTGTTAATTCAGTAAGGCCTCTTTTGGCCTATAACATTATTAGGGACAAAGCAAATTTTGAAAACAAAACAACTCTAGCTCATTCAAGACTCTTGAGGTGGGCAAGAAAAAAGAACAGGGGGGAGGGAGGCTGGACATGTGCCCTCTGAGGCTGGACATGTGCCCTCTGGCTAGACATGTGCCTGCACTTTCTGTCCCTGATGTCTGGTTGTTCCTCCCTAATCTTCTGACTGAAGATTTCCCAGGTTTCTCCTTTATGAAGACCTCTTCTCAGCCATTGTCTCTGCCTTCCTGTGCCTGTCTACCATACTACTCATGGTGTTCATGAATTTGGCCTGTATTCACCAGGTATATGTGAGGTCCCTGATTTCGGTGGTCTCAAGCCCTCCAGGATTCATACCACTTGTCCCAAATACAAAATTCAAGAGTAGATGCTCACAAGCCCCAATCGGAGAAAAGTAGTGTAAAAAAGAATTGATGAGATGGAAATTCTATATGGAGCCTAAGAAAGTCAGCACTCATATAAGATTTAGAGAGCAAAGGTGTGCCAAACACTGATGAGTACAAATAAGGTGATTTGTTTTCATGTGTGTCTGTATTGTAATGTATGTATATGTTACAGTCTTTGCAGCAACTGTTCAGATTGATATAGTTATAGATAATGGAGAACTAACCATGTGAAAAATGGAAAACTATAACTTTGATTGTATATAATTGAATAATAATGCTAAAAGTAGTGCTATTTGTCATTGTGATATTAGTTCACTACTACCTTATAAACATCAACACCATTTTTTCATATCACACATATATACGACATGTCAGATAAACTCTGTTTTTAATTTTATTGGATTGCAAAAATTTTTATGGCTTGTCGGTTTTGTAGCATTTGTGTTCAAGAAATTAGCAAATAACTCTTGTAAAGAAAGCATTGCTTATTAAATATGACTTTGTTTTAGTGAATTTAGAGTACATCAATATATCCTTATACCTGTGAATATAGACAGTTTAATCCAAATCAGAAATAATAGATATAAAATTACAGCCGGGCTAGGTGGCTCAGCCTGTAATCCCGTGCCTTTGGGAGGCTGAGGTGAGTGGATTGCCTGAGCCCGCGGGTTCGAGACCCGCCTGGGCAGCGAAACCTCATCTCTACAATAAATCAAAAAATCAGCCGGGCGTGGTAGCGCACGCCTGTAATTCTGGCTACTCGGAAGGCTGAGGCGGAAGGATCGCTGAAGCCCAGCAGGCGAGGCTGCGGTGGCCAGGAGCAACCACTGCACTCCAGTCTGGGCGACAGAGTGAGACTCCAACTCAAAAAAAAAAAAAAATGACAAGTATTTTCATTACATAAGGAAGTAACTTTATTCAATAAATATGAGTTGGATATTGTCTGAATTCAATGAAAGATAATTTGTGATTTTTATGGACTTTATAATTTAAATTTTTAACCAAAATTCATTTATTCAACAAATATTTATTGAGAGCTTCCTTTGTGCTAGGCACTAATCTGACCTCTAGACATACATTTCTGAAGAAAACAAAGTTTTGTCCTTAGAAATTTTAAGTTCTAAAAAAGAGGAGACAATAGAAAAACAAACAAGTAAATATAGACTATTTGGGGTGATTATTAAGTGCAGTGGAGAAAAATTAAGCAGGCAATGGGGTTGTGGACTGTGAGGTACATTTTACATAGATCGGAAAAGACCTATTTTATTTTATGTGTTGAAATATGTTAGGCTCACTGTAAGAGAAAATACAAGGAAAATCCTTGCACAGAATATCAATTAATACAGAATCTAACTATGCCTTAAAGCAAGATAGAACCTCAGTGGTCTTTGGCAAAGAGTATTGCTAAAGCTTATTTAGTCAAAAGTTAAGAGAGCTGTATATAATACTGCTGAAATGTATTGAATATTATGCTTGGTATCTGTGATTAGAAAATCTAGCAATTATTTAAGTATGAAAATATTATTTATGCTGAAATAATCCTTCCATTAAGAAGAGTTGTGGAGACATTTCCAGCTACCAAGATGTAACCTGAGTTTGTCCACACTAGAAAAGAAGTTTGACAGTTGAAAATTTCCACTTCTGTTTCTTGGTTGGAAGATGAAACCTAATACATAATCAACATGTCTTGTTACACAGAAATTTTTTATTTTAAATAAAAACTGAATCTCAGATACCCTAATTAGCACACCAAGGTGCCTTTAAACCATAAATCTTTTGGAGTGTTTGGGAGTCATGGTGTTCCTGAGCTTCTGCTGAGTGCCAGCATTGCTCTCAGAAAGGACGTTGCAAGACATATGAAGGCGAAGTCTCAAACTTGACAGTGTGAAACAGGTTCTGATAAGGATATGCACCAAAGACTGTGGAAGTGGAGGACTGAGGACAAAACAGAAGACCCAGGGGCTAGGGAAGAGGGACGTTCCAGGAAAGGCTTCCCACACGAAGGATGGAGTACCTAGCACACAGTAGGTGCTCCCTGAGCCTCGACCCTATTGTGTGCCCCTTCGGTATTAGGTCCTAGGGCTAGAAATGTGAAAATACGCAATTCCTGAGAAGCACAGTCTGTTTGGGGAAACAGACAAAACTAAAAGTGATAATTGTTTTAAAAATTGAAATACAAAGTACATTCGGAACTCAGAGAAGGAAAGAATTTAGCAGGGTTTCAGAATAAAAAAACACCTTACAATATTCTAGAGTGGTTGAAAGGTGAGTGGACTCAAAGGACAATTTTTAATTTTCATAAGTACGAAACAAGTGTTTTTAAATTTCATATTTAGATCTTCAGTTTTACTATTCTTGCTAAATACATGAATTCATTCTTAATTCAATATTGCTTCATGCAGGGCACTTTAATAGTGTGGATTTTATTAGAGAACTTAACTGATATTGGTTGTGGGGAGGTGAAGGAAATACAATTTTCTCTAGAAGATTTGCATTAGATAGAGTAGTTACAGGCTGTAGCATCTCCCCTGTAATTTTATGAGAATGGTATTACCCTGGCTTTCACTGTGTGATTGCTGGTTACCTTCTGTCAGTGAGCAACAGTCTTACTGCAAAGCAGGAGCACAACCCATCTCTTTGTCTCCGTGGTCAAACCAATTACTTCTTAGAAAGTCGGATTTTTTTCAAAATGACCATGTACAGGAGCAAACGCAGACATCAGAGATGTAAGTAAATTCTGACACAACTTTTTCATATCACTGTGGTGGGGATAACATACTTGATTTCTTAAAGACTAATTATGACTTCTTCAGATACATTCTGGTAGTAGAAAAGATACTGTAGCTTTTTTCACCCTAACCTTTATCTTTATCCCTGTAACATGTGTGAAAGATGTTGAGGGGAGAGGGGATAATTCGCTTGTTACTATGGAAACCCTTGGAAAGGTTTACAAAATCAACAGAGAAACAGATCAAATGCAATTTCAGTCTAGCTCAGCATCCTTCATTCAGGCATAATCACTGGATAGTTCTCTTTTTTGCTTTTCTAGGAGTGATAGATTTTCTTTCCTGGAAGTCTATTGAAAGGTTTGGGAAGCTAGCCCAAAACTTCTATTTATTCATCCAGTTTCATTACAACTCTCAGGGGAAATAAAACAGTTCAGAATGAAGAGGAGACAGTTAATTGTGAATGACAAGCTGAATGTTTAACAGGATATGCATTGCCAAACTTCTTGATCCAGAGCATGTTTGTAACATAATTCACTGCGGGCACCATTTCAAAGGGTTAAAAGGAGTCATTTGCAATCTCCCCTAAAAGAACCGATTCTGACTGAAAAGGAGCAATACAATTACCCTGGCCTAAAGTCCAGAACAAAGATGATTATGAAACTGAAAGCTATCAGGATTTAACTAAAAATCAGAGTCTTATAATAAAACTGTTTTATAGTAAAGCAATGTGCTTCTCAAGAAAAATATTCCAATTACTTCTCTCTAGTAAGTCCAACTCTTTATCACTTTATCTTTTCTATTGTCTAAAGTAAATATTACTATATTTAGCCCAAAATGGTCTGTCACTTACTCTGCTTACTATCATAGACAGGTAATGACAACTTATTCTACAGTTAAAGTCTGTGCTTTTTCATTATTCCTTATGATACCTTTTTAAATGTTACAGGATACTTTGAAAACAGAAAGACTATCAGCAACAATTACTCTATCAAAAAGTCAAGAAATTATGGAAATGTAATTTTTAGCATGATATTTTATTTTTTGATCTATTTTCACCTAAGACTTGAAACTAACATTTCTCTTGTTCAAAAGAAGTTTTATGCACCACAGAAAGCTCTGAAGGCTAGGACTGCCAGTTAGATTCTATATGCCTGACTGCTTCTTGATGCTAGTTCTTTCTTGAGATCAAGAAACAACCTATAATATCTGTTACTTTTTTCTTACAAGAATGATTGGTGTAAAGTCTGCAAATATATTGCTGATTAATTTCTTTGTGATTTCTTCCCACAAAAATGCATCTAAGTTATGCATGTGCTTTAAAACGTCTGGCATCTTTACGCTTGTATCTTTTATACTTTCTTCAGGTTTTTGTTTTCCCTTATGGGTTATATCATCGCCTTAATGCATACGGAAAATAAAAGATTCACAGAAAAATTATACTGAGTCTCTCCTCTTAAAATGTGCATGTAAAAGCCTGTGATTAAGCAGCAGGAAGAAATTGTGAATTATATGAGACAAGTCAGAAGATCTATAATTATACAGGCATGATCACAGTAGGGTGCACTGGAATGGTTTAGTTTAAGAAATCTAATATGATAACTATATTTAATTGTATCAGTTAGCTATATTATGTTGCATTACCTGTTTCTATATTCTAATAATATAAAATATCAAAGTTCAGAAATATAATAAAATTAAAGTGTATAGAAAGCTTAGCAATAAAAGCAAGTAGAAGCCTTAAGTGAATTTTTGTTTTACACTCATCATATTTACAAAAGTAGAATGGAATATAATTGTTTACCATCCAATAGATATATAAAAATATTGGAATTATCCGGTCACCTAAATCCAGGGCATTTCCATTTTCAGTCATATTGTGGATGTGTGTATTTTTGGTCAAGTAAAAGCATAAACTCACCTAGGGGCAATTGTAATACAATTAAGCCAATAATTGTGCGCTAAGCAAAAACTCACTATGGAAACAAGGAAAAGTAATCTTATGATTTTCCTTAAAATTGAAATAATACATTAAGTCCTTCTAATTCTCTCATTCCTCAAATATTTAATGTAACATCTTTTAGTAAAAATAATGCAACTTTCTATCAGAGGACCCAACAAGAGGAATAGTAAAGGTGCATATGGCTACATCAGGGATTTGGAAAAAAGAAGAACAGAAATACTTATAAGACAGATTTTTAACGTATAACTTGTACTAAGGCTTTGAAAATTCATGTGGGACTTTGAAATCCATTCGTCTCTCTCTCTCTCTCTCTCTCACACACACACACACACACACACACACACACACACACACACACGCATGTACTCATTTATAATTGCCTGACCAGGAGAAGAGGAAAGAAAGAGTACCCCTTTCTTTGCTTCTAGTAGAACAATTGCTACAGAAAATAAACAGCTTCTGTGTTTATCCAGATTACAGATCTTACCTGTACATGACTGCATAATGACTTTCAATTAGACACAGAATTTGTTGAGTAGTATTCAAAAATATTTGCATATATCAGATGGTGATATTGCCAAGGCTAAACAGACATAGACTGCTTTAAGAAAGTCTATACATGTTAACCTATTTTTACAAATCAGGTTGATTTGGGAATTCACCTTTAACTTTTGAGCTTATTAAATTTTATGTACAATATATTGCGAATATATTTATTAAAATGTGAAACTTCTGTTTAAATTTTCAAAAATTCATATTTGGCTAAAACAAGGGACACCTGTAACCTCCCTTGCTGAAATGCTATATGACCTTGAGAAAATCTTTTTTTTTTATTTTAAAAAAGACACATGGTAGTACATTTTAAAAAATGAATATGAAAAATGGAGTAGAATTCATCTGACATTAAATATAGAAATTTTAAAATACTGTAATACCCATACTACAGTAGAGAAAACAGTATGAATCTAGTTTCGGGTGTGTAACATTTCATCCTATTTTGCCTAATTGGAGCACATATTTACTTTTGATTGGTAATGATATGTTTAGGTGAGTTTCTCCATCTTATTAATATTATCATAAGAATCTTTGATGAGATTTGACTTCAGGAATCGAAATATTAGTCATTGTCCTCTGCTTATAGTCATGGCCAATATCTGCTATTTCTATGGATTGCAATCTCTTCTTCTGTAACTTTAGCAGATTGTGCTGAGAAGATATTGTGCATCCCAAGTACTCAGTGCCTACATGACACAGGAATGTCATCATGACATTTTCCAACTGAAAGATATTTGATGGTTTCTCATTGACTAGATGGAGGCTCTTGGTATGTGTGCATCACATCCATTGGTGACAGTGCAGTTCCTGCAAGGTGCCCTAGAATTTATGTATACACTTATTTATTTTAGTTTTTTATATTAAGTAGAGATGAGATCTGGCTGTGTTGCCCAAGCTGATCTCATATTCCTGGCCTCAAGTGATCCTCCCCTGAGTCTCCCAAAGTGCCAGGATAACAGGAGTGAGCCACCACACCCGGCCCTTAAATGAATATTGATCATTACCTGTATAATGAAGAAAGCCATATGTGTATATGTACATATACACAACATATGCATGCTAATCTTTAATTTCTACAATATGTTTAGCAAAAACAAAAGTATTAAAAAGGTGATACTAAATTTGCAAAAGATTTTGATACCATATATTTTATTTAAAAAATCCAACTATATCACATGCAGATCTCACTAAAGTTCAATGTTGTTTTTAGTAATCCCCATGTTCCCAAAGGGTGGAAAGCATTGTTCTAAAAAATGAATACAAGCATGACTTTATAATATAGACACTTACATGATAGTCATTCAGTCACTACTTCCTTCCTTCCTGGTACCAGCTATATTCTAGCCTTCAGGTTGCTAGATTGTCCCCGAAATTCACTGTACACTCTTATCTGTATGCCTTTGCTCATTTACCTTCCTGTTGATATATGACCTTCACCTGCATCTTCACATATAGAAATCTCTGTTCAAGGTTTCTCTCAAATGCCACATCCTTCATAAAGGTCTCTCCAGTTTCTAAGTCAAATAATTCTTTCTCTTCTTTTATTCGAATGATATATTGTGACTTTATTTATAATTTCTACATTCTGTCTATATAAAGAAAATTATATATTTATCCCACTAATCTCTTAAGTTTGTTTCATCTGAGGTATTTTTTACTCTTATTTGGTGCACAATATAGTGCTTTGCCCATAACATTCCATAACTGCCTAATGAAGTGTGTTCATTCAAAGATAGATACATTTTTGATCACCTATGGCTTTCCAGATACTGCTCTAGTGATAAGACTATAGCAAGGAACAAAACAACATTTTATTGAGGGATAGGATGGTGACATGCAAATGAATATGTAATATGCCATGTGATGCTAAATGTTATGGAGAAAAATAAAGCAACTAAGGGGGAAAGGACTTTTGGAAGGTGGGGTTGAGAATTTCTGTTTTCTGTGAAGAAGTCAGGAAAAGCCACTCGTATTAAGATGACATTTGATCACCTGAAGGAAGTGAGGGAGTTGATTTTGCTTCTCTCTGGATAGTTCCAGGTAGAAACAGTATATGCAAAGTCCCTGAGCAACTTGGAATAACTGAAGGAGTAAGAAGAAATCTAGTGAGTAGATTGAATAAAAAGAGATGAGGTCGTAAAAAGTATCAGGGCCATTTGGGTAGATAGAGTAGGACAGATAACAGAATTTAACTGAACCCAGTACATTTCATTTGTAACTGAATTCAGACATAATATGTATCTACTAACTTTTAAGAATCACTATTCATATTTCTAAGTGATTTGTGCAATATTTTTCTTAAAATGACAATTATAAGAATGATTTTTTAAATAATTACACTCTAAACTCGGCAAGACATGTAGCCATTGATTGGAAGAGAATCAGATTGTAGTCATCCAGAGGTCAGAAAGACATTATTTGACAAGAAATCTTTTCTTAGAAATGTTCTTGCATTCTTGATATATTAACTTTCTCTCACTCT